CCAGTTTACAAGCCAAAGCCAGAGCCCCCAGTTTACAAGCCGAAGCCAGAGCCCCCAGTTTACAAGCCGAAGCCGAAGCCAGAGCCCCCAGTTTACAAGCCGAAGCCAGAGCCGCCAGTTTACAAGCCCCATCCCAAAATCTTGCCACCACCTATTCCAGTTTACAAGCCCCATCCCAAAATCTTGCCACCACCTATTCCAGTTTACAAGCCTCTACCACCATTCTATAAAAAACCATGCCCACCATTTTCACTCCCCAAGCTTCCTCCTCTCCCCACCATTCCTCCAAAAAAATATCACCATCCCATCATACCCCTACCTCCTCATCCATAAGCTTCCATTCCCATTGAAATTATTTAAATTTGGTAAGTCGTATGCATGTATGTAGGATGAAGAAAGTAATAAAGATTGGAAGGTGGGATGATGGCATGCAGTTGATGCAGAGAAGAAGATAATGATGCATATAGATGGATAGATGTCTATTTTGTTCATGGGCAGTGTGTGTGTGTGTGTGTGTGAATTTGAGGTATTTAATGGAGTTGGTAAATGTTCCAATTTAATTAAGTTTGATTTGTTTATGTGGCAACTTGAATAGTTGTCTTTATAATTATTTGTAATTCTTGGATTGTTCTCATCTAAGGATTTCTTTCATTTACGTACACAAGTTTTCTTCATTCATCAGTTCTTTCCCTGATAAAGAATGTCATCAAAATTTTGATGATGTTGTTGAAGCACTGGTATATAGAATATAACTGGTCCTTGTCCTCTGTTCCATTCCTTATCTACTTACTTCATAACAACAGCATGGTTTTTTTACTAATAAAATCAAGTAAATCCTAATAAGTTCAGGAATGGAAAATATAAAGACCACCATTCCTCTGCTTCAAGGGAGTTTTTTGCAAAAATAGGGTAGTTTTGAAAAGAGTTTGTAGAAATAGGATAGTTTTAGTTTTATTGGTAGAAATAGGGTTGTTTGTGTGGGACTCACTAATTTTAAAAAATCTGATTTTGTAAATTTACAATTTTTACCCTCCAACTTACATTTTCATTTTTATTTATATCTTTTATTTTGTAAAATTTTATATTTAACCCTTATTATATATTATGTATTAATTTATTTAATTAAAATATATATATATATATTAAAATTTACGTAATTTACGTATTATTAT